CTGCTCCTCATGCTCCTCTTATTTTAACTTGTGATGCTTCTGACTTTGCTGTTGGTGCATCACTTGAACAGTCTATTGACGACGATATCAAACCAATAGCATTTTTCTCAAAGAAACTAGACAAAGCTCAAAGAAATTATAGCACTTATGATAGAGAACTTCTTAGCATTTATTTGGCTATTAAACATTTCAGGCATTTTGTTGAAGGAAGACAACTGATTATCAGAACTGATCATAAACCTTTGATTTTTGCTTTCCGTCAGAAATTGGATAAAGCGTCACCAAGACAGATCAGACAATTGGACTTTATTGCTCAATTCTCTACAAATATTACTTATATTTCTGGAAAAATGAATTCAGTTGCTGATGCTCTGTCAAGAATTGAATCTATTTCAATGCCTATTATAGTTTCTTTAGAAAAACTTGCTAATTATCAGAAAGAAGATGAAGAACTTCAAGTTTTACTTTCTTCAAATTCTTCACTTCTGTTGAAGAAACTTATTCTTTCAGGATCAACCATACCTATTTATTGTGATTGTTCTTCGGAATTAATTCGTCCATATGTTCCTAAACTCTTACGCAAGAGAATTTTTGATGTTGTTCATGGACTCGCTCACCCCAGCGGCAGATTGACATCTAAACAATTACTACTGAAATTCATTTGGCCTTCTTTGAAGAAAGATGTGAAGGAATGGACTCGAACTTGTCTTCCATGTCAACGTGCGAAGATTTCAAGACACACCAAGAATTCTCCAATTAAGATTGCAATTCCTGATCAACGCTTTCAGCATGTGCATTTAGACATTGTTGGACCACTTCCTATTTGTCAAAATTACCGTTATTGTCTTACTATGATTGATCGTTTTTCCAGATGGCCTGAAGCTGTTCCTATTTCTGAGATTTCTGCTGAAACTGTTTCTACAACATTTTATTCACATTGGGTAGCACGTTTTGGTTCTCCTATCAGCATTACAACAGATCAAGGTCCTCAGTTTGAAGCAGCTTTATTCAAAGCTTTAACAAACCTAATTGGCTGTCAAAGGATTAGAACTTCTGCTTATCATCCTGCTTCAAATGGAATTCTGGAAAGATGGCATAGAACTTTGAAAGCAGCGATTATGTGCCACGAAACAACCAACTGGATAGAATCGTTCAGTTCTTTTGGGATTACGTTCGTGTTTCAAAGAAGATTTAAAAGCTTTACCAGCAGAACTTCTTTATGGATCCACTCTTTGTATTCCTGGAGAATTTTTCATTGAAGAAGATTTTCCTGCAGATCCTGAAATCTTTCTTGAAAAACACAGGATTCATATGAGGAATATCAGATCATCTCCTACAAGTCATCATTGCAAAAGATCACCTTTCGTTCACAAGAATCTTTTTGATTGTACTCATGTTTGGATTCGAGAAGATGCTGTTAGGAAGTCACTACAACCTCCTTATTCTGGCCCTTTTCCTATTGAGAAACGTATCTCTGATCATTTATTTGCAGTTAACGTTTCAGGAAGAGTTGTCAATATTTCGACAGAACGTCTCAAGCCAGCCTTCATTCCTAGAACTTCAGATTCTACTGAACTTTCTACCAGATCTTCAGCTCCTGTTCCTGCTACTTCAGCTCCTGTTTCTGCTACTTCAAATTCTCCTTCTTCTTCTTCTACTGTTGGAAAAGCTCTACGTACCACCAAAGAAGAAGAAAGTCCATTTCGCAACGAATATCGTCACTTGGGGGGGAGTACTGTAGCATTCATCATCCACACCTTTTATTTACACTCTACACTTTTATTACACCTTACACTTTTCACTGCACTTTTACACTTTTTACATCTTTATACATTTGTAATAACTTCAATTCATTAATTAACATAATGTTTTTAAAAAAATCAATATTTCCATAACAACACATTCATTCATTTATTTGTTATATATTAATTCTTTTTGTCTTTCGCTTTATACTTTCAATGAATAAACATTACTTTCTTAAAAGATCTGGTGAATTTATTCATAAGTCGCTACATGTATATGTATATGTATTTGAAAAATAGTTTGAATAATTAATAACAAAAGAACCGTTGGAGATGGAGGCTTGTCCTTTTGTACAAACGTGAGTGTTAACATCACGCACCTAAGGCCCGAGTTGCAGCCATTTATGTCTGCAAATATTGTTAAAAAAGAATATTACATTTTAAAAATTAAAAAATTAATAACAAATAAACCGCGCAAGATGGAACGTTCTACTTTCGCAGAAACGTAGATGGCGAGGCCGTCCTCCGATTCTCCGAGTTAGAATCCCTGATGTCGACAAAAAGCAAAAAAAGAAATAGTTACTACTTTTCGAAAAAATAATTTGAATAATTAATAACAAAGGAACTGTTGGAGATAGAAGCTTATCCTTTTGCACAAACGCGAGTGCCAACGACATCACGCACCGAAGGCCCGAGTTACAGCCATTTATGTTTGCAAATATTCTTAAAAACGAATATTACATTTTGAAAATTAAAAAATTAATAACAATTGAACCGTGCAAGATGGAACGTTCTACTTTTACGGGAATGTATATGGCTAGATTTTCCCCCGATCCTTCGATTTAGAGCCCCTGTTGTCGATAAAAATAAAAATAATAGTTAGTTTCTTGGCTTGTGTTTAGTATTACCTCCCACCGACAGATGGCCTGACGGCGGAATGCCTTTCCGTAGTTAAGAAACCGTCAGCAAATTATATTAGTCGATCAAGCCTTCAATACTTACATTTGTCGATCTTAGTTTTTTTTATATATTTTGCGGATTCAATATTTCGCAGTTGGTATATAATTCTAAAAGTTTTGATGGTTTTTAATTTTTGTTACGTTATTTATAATAACTTGTTTTTCACATTTTAGTTTACATCTCTCCATCCTTTTTAAAAATGTTTGCAGATATTTTTAAGTACAATTGCTCTGTTAAACAATAGGTTTGTTCTTCTTGCTTACACGAAAAGTGTATAGTGTACACTTTTACTCCGTCCAATTTTTGAGAGTGGGGGTAACGTCGTGTAAATTCAGTGTAAAGTGTAAGCTTTTCAACGAGAACGCCGAAGTGTAACATCAAGTGTTTATAAATACGACAGCTATTTGTGCATAGTGTTCATATTTAAAGTTTTAATAAAAAAGTGGAATTTTATTGTTTAAAATTTATTATTGGTTATATTGTTACAATTATCACAAAATGATGAATGAATTAAATGTAGAAATTCTTAATCACATTTTGGAGTCGGAGTCTGAATCTGATTTGTCATCCGATGAAGAGGATTTTGACGAGATTGTTCCTGAACCACCTGTTTTATTTGCTGCAAATAATGGTAAGATAGTTAAATAATTTTTTACTTACTACATGTGAGTACATTTAACCACTGTTTAAAGTAATTTAACCTATGTAATCTAACCTCAAAACATTGTTTTTTAGATGAAGACATTGGACAATTATTAGAGCCAGTATTAGGAGTTGTTTAAAGAGTACATCACGTAAAAATTCTAAATTATATTGAAAATGTTGTACATTTATACACTGAGAGTGATTTCATAATGCACTTTCGCTTATCACGAGAAGTGACCAATGAATTGATCAATCGTTTTGCAGCATCTCAAATTTTTTGGCATTACAAGGTTAATTATATCATAATTATGAGTTTCACATACATTAATATTATTTATAAATAACATATTTTAGTTGCATAATTTTATGAATATAATATCTTATTATATCTATGTATGTTATCACAGCTTATGCAGGCTACGAGCCTATTTCTCCAGAGAAACATATCATAAGTTTTCTTTGGTACGTTGGACATGAAAGCAGTGGCTATCGGGATGTAGCAGATAAATTTGGGATTACCATAAGTGCGCTGTACAATGTTATATCCCGGATCACAAATTTTTTAATATCTCTTGCACCAAATGTCATCAGATTTCCTACAATGCAAGAGAGAGAAGCCATTAAAGAACATTTTTTACAAATGCAAAACAGATTTCCTGGAGTAATAGGTATATTTCAAAAGTACTATTTTCATACATATAGAATTTCGATTTCATTACTAAATAATTCATTATTACAGGTGCCATAGATGGATCGCACATTCGAATCGACAAACCAATAGAAGACAAAGATTTGTACATAAATAGGAAACAATTTTTTTCCATTCAGTTACAAGGCATTGTGAACCACGGACAAAAGTTTATGAATGTGTTTATCGGTTACTCTGGATCGGTTCATGATGCAAGAGTTTTCAGGGAATCGCCTGTGTACAATAGACTGAATGAACTTTGTGGAGGTTTGTGACGTAATTTTTTTTAGATTAAAATAATATCAAAATGTATATTCGGATGCTATTGTAAAGAGACTTAGTGTACAATCTTTTACTGAACCAATTTTTTTAATTTGCAGAAGATGGATACTTGCTTGGAGATAGTGCGTATCCCTGTTTACAACGGTTGATTGTTTCGTATAGAGATAACGGACATTTGACACGAGCTCAAATCAATTTTAACCAAAGATTGAGTTCATGTCGAGTTATTATCGAAAATGCATTTGGTAATCTGAAACAGCGATTTCGTCAATTGTACCATTTTAAGTTACGAGACATTGTTCGAATGGTTCAGGTTGTGCATGCATGTTGTGTTTTGCACAATATGGCGAATGCTAATGATTTACAGTTATTTGAACCACCTCCCGATGAAAATCAACCTGATCCTGATGCTGTAAATGCACTGATTAATATGGTTGGAGATAATGCAATACCGCAGGATAATCAACAGGGACGAGAACTTAGAGATGAAATATGTAGACAACTCGCAGCACAATAAATGTCTCAATTATTGTACATTCTATTTAAATAAGAATTATGTAAATTTATCTTTTAAAGGCCTTATATATTATATTATTTGTGAATTATAAATAATAAATGTGTTTTCAATAAAAATCCTTATTTCATATTAATATAAAAATTCTTTTATTAAATTGTTCCATTAAATCAACAATAAACAATAAACTTCACAAATATAATACAAAGCTGTTTTCAACACTGTACAAGAAATGTGGAAACGCATAAGTAACGAAATGAAAAACTAAGGATATGACGTGACTGCAATACAAGTGGAAAATAAATGGAATAAAATAATATAATCGTCGGCTAAATTTACTGAAAAGAAGAGTCGCCACGTCACACTGGTTAATTTTTTAAAAATAAATTTAAAAATTCTTTCAATGAATTTTTTTTTCTTCCAATAAGTCGTTTCTTCGTTGTCTTTGTTGAATAGTTTCCTTTCTGTGGTTTTCTATTGCGGTCAAATGTTCTTCTTGTCTATCTTTTATTGATTTATAGGTTTCCAGGATTTGTGATAACATTTTATCTTGATTTTCATCGCGTTTTTCGAGTGTCTTCCTGTATTCTTGCATCTCTTTTTGGCACTGTTGCAATGCCTTTGCCGTTGTTCCAGTGGCGATTCTTTTTTTAGCAACAGCAACGAGGTTGGCATTTTCAGGTACGGTTACTACTTCACTTTCATCAGCCACAGGCATATCTTCAGGTTCCTCTCTTCTTTCTACGTTTGATGTGGTTGGTAATACAATTGTTGTCGATACTGGCATTAAAATCGGCGCACTAAAGTTAAAAAATAAAATTAATTTTCAAAAATTAATGATAATATATGAAAATATATGAACAATTTTCAAAATATGCAATAATAAATATACTTAAATCACAATTCATAGATGATATTAGTATTTACGAAACAAACCTGTTATTCAATAAAGTCCTGAGATCTGATATACTATTTCGGACCATTACTCTTATTTCCGGACCCGCCACAGCAAGTGGAACTATTTTGTGGCTCTTTCCCAAAATTTCTGTCAGTTCCCTGTAAAAGCATGTAAGTAAAAATAAAGCATCAATTTATTATGATTTATTATTATTTCAATTTTAGCTATACGTAAACGTTTGGTAACTACAGGTAATCCGCCCTCTTCCTGTCTTATTATTATTGGAAATAACTTTTTTATATTGTCTTTCTAAAGTCTTCCATTTATTTTCCACTTGTATAGGAGTCACGTCGTATCCCGAGTTTCTCATCTCGTCGCTTATACGCTTCCACATTTCTTTAAAATTTTTAATTCTTCTAGAACCAACTAATTCTTTCTTCTCCTTGTAGAGTGATAAAAATATTTGGTATTCGCATCATTTCATGTAAAAATTTCAAAATTGTGTTGAATGACGTTTGGCTTCTGATTTTCTTGATTGGAAATGTTAGTGTCCGGTGTGTCTATTGTTCTGTGTGTAGATGTTAATACTATTAAAACTTTTTCGTTATCCACAGTACATGTAATGGGTGGACCATTCAAATCTATTTCGGAAGTGTGTATTTTAAAAGTTAGCCCACCTACAAATTAACATGATACACATGTAAATAAAACAATTAAAAATGTATACATACAATTAACAAAACACATATGTAAATAAAACAATTAAAAATGTATACATACTGTCGGTTTGGCATGTTATGTAACCTTCTTCATCAATAATTATTGATTCATCGGCATTTCGAAATACTATTGCCGTTTTAGGCACTTATACGACTTCTTCCATTGTAAAAAATAAAATTAGGAAGCAATCGTGGGAAACTATAACCTCTTAGTGTAACTTTACACTGCGTACACCACCTCTCAGGCTCGTGTAAACCAGTGTAAAATTCGTCATAAAAGTGTGATCCACTTTTCAAGACGAACAGCGTGTAATCCAGTGTAATCGCACAACTCTACGTCATTTCCGACAAGAAGAACGCCAAAGTGTACACTTTACACGATAGTGTACGAAGTGTAAGCAAGAAGAACAAACCTAATGTTCTAGGTTTTAAATCTTTTTACGCATTTTTTAATTGTTTAAATTTGTATTATATAAGATTCTATTTATTGAAACGTCTTAAGTTCAGTTGCACCAATGTCACTACAGTTCTTCGCTTAATTAAAATGCGTTTACAGTAAGTGTTGCTTAAAATTCGCTAGCGTTCCACAGTTGTTATAGAAGTAATATCACAGTATATACAATAGCACAACTCTCTGTCGGCACCTTTGATGTTTGTGTAACATAAAATGGAGTACGCATGCGCGAAATCAGCGAGTATAACAGTACTGTCATCTGAACTTTTTTTTCACTCTTTCTTCATTTTTGCTCTCTTTTTAGTATATTACTACATGTAAAATAAATTAATTTTAATAAAAAATTATGTATATATAAGATCAAGTTGTTAATAATGTTAATGTATGATATATATAAAGCAAATGTTATAAATATTAATATTTCATTTAAAGCGCAATCACACTTTTTATTATGAAAATAAGACTGTATATATAAATTTAACATATATAAGACAGGCTATAAGACTGTATACTTAATATTAAGATTTATAAATGTTTCACATTTAGAAGTTTCCTATTTTTCTTACTAATGCTTTTGCATGATTTATTATGCTGTGTTAATGTAAAATATATACACGTACGTAAAAATAATTTTATCAAAAAATTAGTAAAAAAAATCTTGGCATAGCAATTCAAAAAGTATAGTTTGCACTAAATAAAAAAGATAATTGCCAATATTTCTTTTAAAACAATTATTTTCAAAATTTTTTACAAATAATTCTTCTAATTGATGGATTTAAAAACAAAAATTGCTATTTGGTATGTTTAAATTGCCATATAAATTATTTTCTTCATTAGAATAAGCTCGAAAAGAACAATATAATATAGTGTCCTCTAAAACAGCGTTATTTTCATTTACATATAATATACATGTATTACAGGAATGAATTTCCATACACTTTTTAATCAAACATCCACACACATATGTAAACGCATTCTCCTCTGGCAGATCCATGGAATAGTAATCATGGTTTGGGATATCTAAAATTTTACGTGGCAAAAGTGGAATAGTTTGATTTAAACATTTACTTGAACACGGCTTCTTAATAAAATTTAACATTTGGTAATTATCATGAGCACAATTTTGAGATTCAGAATGCTGTAGAAATTTAATACTGAGTAATTTTTTAAAGGCACGCATAAATTGAATCGATGTCGGATTCAGAGAATTACCACCTTGTTGCATAATAGTATCAAAGAAATTTTCGACACAATTTTGATTAATTCTTCGTGTTCGAAGATAAGGAAAATTAAAAATTTTAATTTTTTATCCCATAACTGCATTATACTATTAATTGTAATCTGCCAGCACTGAAAACATTTAATATTTACATTAACACGTGAACCGTTGGCATTAATTATTGTAATATATTTGAAAAGATGTAACATTTTCTCTAAGAACTCTTTTTGTTTCTCACTACCAGTATAAATTTCTCCATATTCTTTTGGATTATTTAAAGCAAATGAATTTATAATATCAAATAATTTATCTAATTTTTCAATAAGTTCTATTATGCCAACTGCTTCACTTGGAAGAAAACCAAACGACATTTGCGTGCATATACCTGCAGCTACCCGATTGCTAAATATTTGGACAGCATATTTTACTTTCATTCGTTGAAAGGAATTTGGTTCAATATGATATTTTGTTAGATGAGGAGCCATTTTTATTCATTGTTTAGAATCTCTATTATAAAATTGGATTATATGATTTTATGAAGCAACTTTATTATCAAATTTAAAATTATATTTTAATAAATTATTACGAGTTGCTTTCATTAAATAAGGAGTATCAAAAATATAAAAAATTTCCTCTTCATTTACTAAAAATGTTGAATTTTCTGTCGAAATACCTAATTCACGGGATAGCTGCATAAAATTAGATCCCATATCAGAATGCATGCACAAAAGCACCAGAATTTCTAAATTTTATAATAGGCGATTTTTGGCGACTGTTTGGTACATGTACCGTGGTTGTTATTGGTAGAGGCGGAACTATTTTTGGTATAGGTACCAGCAACCATGTCACTAAAACGTGTTGATTTTTTTCTATACGCGCAAATTCAAAACTGTCAAATAATTTTTACTGTTGTATGTAAGTGTGAAGTAGAGAGACATGAGTTTCAAAGTATTTTTAACTATTTTAATAAATGAAATGTATAATGACGATAAAGATAATCAAGTTATAACAGAAATATATGAACAGTTTTTTCACGCAAGAAATGCAAAAAAAAAGGAAAATATTAAATATGTTAGAATTAAAGGAAAAGCAAAGTTATATTCGTCCAGCATTATCCCTACAGTAAAATCTCTGTGATACCAGGAAGTTTGCCGAAAATCGCGATCCCATTGTTGCCGCTTTATTCCGATCGTGATTGGTCGTGGCGACGCGATCGATCTCGCGACGCAAGTTGACGTGAAGTGCGCGACGATGAGCGATGCAATGTTCGTTTGACAGCTTGCAATTTTGAATTAAAAATAATTAACTATAACTATAATTATTATATAATCTTAACTACAAATAAGATATTATATAATCTTAACTACAAATAAGAACGTAAAAACAATGTAGAAAATGATAATCTTTTAGTATTTAAAAAAATATTTAAAATATTGACATTTTTTTATAATTTTATAATAATTCATAATAATTTTATGACTTTAGCATAATTTAATCAATAATTTTAGCAATAATTTATAACTTAAAATTTGAATCAGTATAGATATTTTAATTTTATACTGTGCGTGCGTGCGTGCGAGTGTGCGTGTGTACGTACATGTGTATGTGCATGTGTGTGCATGTGTGTGCATGTGTGTGTATTCTGTGTATATGTGTTTGTGTGTGTTTGTGTGCGCGTGCGTAAGTACGCGCGTGTGATAAATAATTATTTAATTAAAAATTAATTATATATTTTTTTGGAATTTTTTTATCAAAGATTTGTAGCATTTTATCAATAAATACATCATATTTTACACACATAATTATTCACATTTATTTACTATTTATTTAATTTGATTATACGTAATTACAACTAAAATAATTAAGCAGAATTATTATATATATAATTTTAACTACAATTTAGAATGTAAAATACAAAAAATACGTCTTTTAAATATTACCAATATTGATAGTTTTTATAATTTTATATTTATAGTAAAATTATAATTTTAGCAATAACTTATAATTTTAAATTTTTATTAATTTATATATTTAAATTTATTTAATTAAACATTTCTTTATTTTAATAAAAAATTTTTTTTATTATAGCGAAATAACATATTATGTCATTATTCAAGTAAAGAAAGAAATAATATTTTATGACTGTATTATTGATACTCTGAAAAATATAAGTATAATATAATATAATGAATAACTTTTTAAAGTTCTGGAAGGAAATAGAAGATTGGGAGGTGGTGGTGATGATGGAAACATGGATAGAGGAAAGGGGGTGGGAGGCGATTAAAAAGAGGTTACCGAAAGGATATAGATGGGAGAAGCAAGCAGCAAAGAAGAAAAGAAGAAAGGAAGACCGATGGGGGGATGATCATGGGGTAAGGGAGGAGAGGGGGAAGATAAAAGTATCAGGAATGGGAGAAAAGGAGGAGGGAATAATGATGGCGGATTTAGAAGTAGGAAGAGAGAAGTGGAGGGTAATAGGCGTATACATCAACGGGGACATGGAAAGGAAATTGGAGGAATGAAGGAATGGATGGAAGAGAAAGAAGAAAATAAATGGACGATTTTGGAGGAGATTTCAACGCAAGGACAGGTAGAAGGGGGGGAGTGATAGGAGGGGAGGAGGAAGAAGAAGAAGATCGAAGGACAAGAAAGTTAATGAGGAAGGGAAGAAGTTGATAAAAGAGTTGGAAGAGGTGGGATGGGGAATTTTTAACGGAGGGATAAGAGGGGATAGGAAGGGGGAGTACACATATACAGGAGGAAGAGGGAATCGGTAATAGATTATGTGGTGGGAGAGGATAGAGTAAAGGAAAGATAAAGAGAATGGAGGTGGGAGATAACATAGAATCGGACCATCACCCATTGATTGTAACGCTAGAAAGAAGAGGAGGAGCTGAAAAGGGAAAAAGGGGGGAGGGAAAAGGAATAAGAAAAGAGGGAGATGGACAAAGAGGGAGGAGAAAGATAGAAAAGAATAAGGAGAGGAATAGAGTGGGGAGAGGGGGGAAGGAGGGGATTGAAGAGGAGCTAGAGGAAAAAATAGGAAGAATAGAAGAGGAATTGAGAGAAGGAGAAAAAGAGAGTGGAGAAGGGAAAAAGGAAAGGGTGGTGGGACGAGGAAGTGAGGAGAAGAGGAAAAGAAGTGAGGAAAAAGTTAAGGGAATGGAGGGAAAAAAGGAGGAGGAGGAGAAGGATATAGAAAAGTAAGGGCGGAATATAGGCTAATGTGTAAAGGAAAAAGGGAGGAGGAGAGGCTAAGATGGTACAAGGAGGCGATAGAGGCAAGAACGGAAGGAGAAGTATGGAAGATTATAAACAGGGAAAGAAAAAGAGAGAAGGGGTGAATGAGGAGATAAAGGCGGAGGAATGGAAGGAATACTTCATGGACTTATTGGGAGGGATAGAGGTAAAAGTTGTAAGAGGAGGAAAAGAAAAAAGAGGGAGAGAGATGAGGAGCAGGGAGATAAGCAGGAGGAAGTGAAGAGGATGCTGGAAAAACTGAAGAAAGGAAAAGCAGCGGGGGAGGATGGGATACCGAGTGAGGTATGGAAATATGGAGGGGAGAGGGTAGAAGAGGGGTATGGGAAATGTGCAACAGAGTATGGAGAGGAGAAGGATGGCCGGAGAGGGGAAAGAAGGGATAATAGTGCCACTGTTGAAAAAGGGAACGGGGAATAAAGTGGAAACTATAGAGGAGTGACATGATGCCAACGCTATACAAGATATACGTGGGGATTTTAACTGAAGGTTAAAGGAAGAAATGGAGGGGAAGAAGAATTGATACGGAGAGTCAGACAGGTTTTAGGAAGGGAAGGGGGTGATGGATAGTATCTATGTGTTGAACTATCTGGTGAATAAGAGGGTAAATAAGAAGGGAGGAAAGGTATTGCGGCATTTATGGACCTGAAGGCGGCGTTTGACTCGGTAGATAGGGAGGTGTAATGGAGGCAATGAAGGGGAGGGGAGTGAGGGAAGGATTAAGGAGTAGGATAGAAGAGGTGTACAGGGAAACGAGGAGTAAGGTAAGAGTGGGGAAAGAGGAGGGAGAAAATTTTTGGACGGCAAGGGGGGTGAGGCAAGGTTTGCCCAATGAGTCCGCACTTATTCAGTCTGTGATAGCGGATATAGAGGAAGTGCAGGAAAAAAGGTTGGGGGGGGGGGGTGAAACTGGGAGGGAAAGGTGCATTGTTTGGCGTACGCAGATGACATGGTACTGTGGCGGGCGGAGGATGAGGAAGAAGGATGATACATAGTTGGGGAAAATGGAAAGTTATATGGACAAGAAAAGGTTAGAGGTGAATGTGGATAAGACAAAGGTAAGAGGTTTAAAAAGGGAGGAGGAAGAATGAAGAGAGTGGAGTGGAGATGGAAAGGAAAAGGTTAGAGGAAGTGAAAGAATTCACATATTTAGGGTATAAGCTACAGAGGAACGGGGGCAGGAGGCGCAGGTAAAGAACAGGTTAGGAAAGCAGGACGCGGTGATAAGACAGGTGTGGGGAATGGAAAGAGAAGGTTTGCAGGAGACTGGATGAAAGAGTATGGCTAATGGAAAGGTTGGTGGGGACGGTGTTGGAATATGGGGCGGAAATATGGGATGGAAGGAGAGGAGAGAGGTGGAGGCAATGCAGGAGCGATGGATTAGGTGGACGTTAGGGTAGACTGGTGCACGCCGGGGTATATGGTAAGAGAGGAGATAGGAAAAGACAAATTTAGGATAAGGGCAGGAAGGAGGGCGGTAGGGTATGAGAGGAAGTTGGAGGAAGGAAGGGGAGGAAGTTTAGCGAGGAAATGTTTTGAGGATATGAAAGAGAGGATAAGACGAGGAAAGGAAAGAACGATGTGGAGTTGGAGGAAAGAGAGGGAGAAATTCTGGGAAGAAGAAAGAGGATAGAGGGCAAGAGGGGAAAGAGATGGAGGAAAAAAGGGAAGGGGAGAGGAAGTATATAGAGGGGTGGGAACAGAAAGACAGGGAAAGGCAAAAGGAGGGAAAGAGTGGGAGAGGTATAAGAGAGTCGAATATAATAGATGGTATGGGAATGGAAGGAGGAGGTTTACCGGAATACTGAGAAAGGGTGGGGGGAAAGTAGATGGAGAAGGATAGTAGGTTCAGAATGAACAATGAGATGAGAGGGGCGAGATACTGGGAAGAAGAGGAGAAAAGAGAGAAAAGAAGATGTGGTTATGCGGGATAGAAGATGAAACATGGGAGCCTGTGATAGGAGAATGTGGGGGAGAAGGGGAGAAGGGAAACTGGTGGGGAAAGAATGAAGGGAATATTGCAGGAAGGAGGAAGAAGGGAAGGATGGATGAGAGAAATAGAGAAAAAGAGGGAAGAGGGGAGAACGGAAAAGAAAAGGGGGAGGGAGGGGAAAAGGACGAGGGAAGTATGAGGAGGAGAATGAGTTGAGGTATGAATGAGGTGTGGAGAATATATGGGGAATCGGAAGCCGAAGCGAAGAGGATAGGTAGGGGACGGCTCTTTCTCTCTCTAAAGTAGTAGATAAG